GGGAATCTCGTAAAACAAGCTTACAAGGACGTGTATATACAAAATTTCAACCACCAAATGGAGAACGATTGCCTAGGGGAAAACTGGACAATGATTCTCCAAAAGGGAATACATGAGAAGTGAGAACATCGTTCTTTCCCCTCAAATCACACAAATTATAAATCTACCCTTTCTTCTCAAAAAATGAGGCTCCAGTTTATCCTGCTTTTGAACGGGGGAACTCCTACTTTCTTGTGTAAAACAATCAAAGATACGTGAACAAAATGAAGAATTAAAAAGTAATCATCTTCCCTCGTGAAGATCTTCTGAGAAAACTGCGGTCCGAGAGATGTTGTCATTGTCAAAGGCACTAAGACCTGAAAAGGGACCAGAAGAGAACATCGAAGATGTCCCATCAGACTCAAAGGTTGTTGATGACTGCCTGCAGTTGGGCCGGACATTGGCAGAGGTCATGGAATCCTGGTATTCGGTTACCCGCTGCACCATTTTAAGTGATTGTACAACTTCACCCATTGTGGGCCGTTGGCTTGCCTCGGGAGCGACACAAGCAGCGGCAATTGTGCAAACCCTGACAAAGTCTTCCTTTGGGTACTTGCCTCCAAGCTTCGGATCAGCAAGCTCTTCCAACCGATCCTTGTCTCTGAGTATAGGCCTGGCCTGAAAGTATATGAAACGCACTTGTAATCTTTTTTGTACGTATGATGAAACAAAAAGAACATTAATGACAGACAAAACGAGTAATTAACAAAGGAAATGAGGGAGTGATTTATGAACAACACTAACCCAACTGACAAGGTTCTCCTGTCCAGTTGGTTGAGACATTTCCACAGGCTTCCTTCCGGTGAGTAACTCGAGAAGGACAACCCCATAACTGTAAACATCACTTTTGACAAGTAGATGTCCTGTCATGGCATATTCAGGAGCTACATACCTGTAGATCAATTACATTTTATGTTAACACTTACATCAGTTGAGAGAGTGGAAATAATAAGTTAAGGGGTGTGAGGCCAACCCAAACGTTCCCATAACACGAGTCGATAAATAATTTGTTCTGCCTTCGGGTGCCTGTTTTGCAAGGCCAAAATCAGCAACTTTAGCATGAAAATTGTTCTCAAGTAGAATGTTGGACGCCTTAAAATCTCTGTGTATAACGCAAGGTTGGGAGTCTTCATGCAGGTATGCAAGCCCTCTGGCAGCATCAAGTGCAATCTTCATTCTGGTGTCCCAATCGAGAGGACAATTTACTCCCAAGGGACCTGAGACAAAAGTGGGCCATTGCCGATAATGCGTATTAGAAATATGCTAATAAGCTCATGTGGCTTAAATATCAAAAAAATAAAATAAAATAAAATAATCAAGCGGAAAAAATATGTATCAGAATCAAAATCTTCTAACATGTGATTTGAGAAAAGAACCTACCATGGAGCCAGGATTCCAAGCTCCCATTTGGAACAAGCTCATAGCAAAGTAAGTTTTGTGAGGAATCACGATTGCTATAGTAACCTACAAGTTTCACAAGATTTCGGTGATGCAACCTGCTAAGCATCTCAACCTCAACCAAAAATTCCTTATCCCCTTGTTGCCCCCCACAAGTTAGCCTCTTGATTGCAACAGCGGTACCATCGCTTAAGACACCCTTAAACACTCTGCCAAACCCACCCTCTCCAAGTATGCTTGCAGGTTCAAAATTGTTTGTTGCTTCTTTAAGTTCTTCATATCCCAGAAACCGTGTACTAGTTGGATGGGGAAGAGGTCCTATAACCGGAACTGCATCTACAGTCCTCTGCTTTTCTGGAAACAAAAAACCAATCATGTTAATTAAGATCTCATTAGAGGTGCTTTGCAAAATCAAAATTAGATTTGTGAAGTGTCAATTAAAACCAAAGCCAATGAAACGTTTATGTTAAATTTTTACAGCTCCATGCACCTTTCTTCACCACAGACCTTGAATGTTTTCTCCTCGGATGGTAGTTTAAGTCTGAAAGGTCCACCAATGTGGTATTCCAAAAAGGCATTTGCTTACGACAACTTTATATTTAAGGTACTGACACTTTTAATTTAGCCATGTATTTGTGTAATAATTTGTTCAACGAGATATGCATAACTTTTTTTTTTAGGGGTGATGAAGGAGATATGCATAGTAGATAGTATATAATTTAAATATGTTACCAAAAACAATTGGATGTTGCAAAAAGAAAATTAAGCTATTTGAATGTAAAATTTGAAGTTTGCCTTTGCGCTGGAATGACAAGAAGAAAAGAGATATATTCCACATTACCTGTTTCCATAGGAGGCGCTTTTGTTTTTTCTTGACAAGACATGCATAAACAAGCTATGAGCAATGAGATGATGGCAATAAATAGTACGCCAGCACCAATACCAAGAATAAGAATCAAACTTGAATGCCTCCCTTTGCTAGAAGTACTGGGTGATGAAGAAGCTGACGGGTGATATGGCGGGGCTTTGGTAGGTGATGAAGCAGGAAGGGGAGCTGTGTAAAAAAAAGCAAACATATTATTATTCACAAAATTAATGATTTTGGCCACATGCTACAAGGGGAGCCGTGTAACTAGAAAGTCCATTTTTCTTTCTCAATAATTTTAACAGCAAGTTGAGTATTTTTAGAAGATTTAATGGAAGAAAAATAACAATATCCGCGTAACTAAATTTTAAAAAGCTTTTGAATGGCATGTCAAATATACCTGGAGAAGGAGGTGGAGCCTTAAACCATGTAATATTGAGAAGTTTGTAATCACCCACTAATGTAGAGTTTAGACGAACTCTATGCATGGAAAGTGAAGAGTTTATGGCAGATGCATCACTGGCAGAAAAACTGATCCCTGTGTGTGGAATGATATCCATCGATATATTTAACCTTGACAAGCTCAGAACGTAGAAGTTGATCAACTCAAGTTGAGAAACTCGCAAACGAAGTTGAGAAGCCAACTCTTGTAAGAAAAGATTCCAATTAGGATTTTGTGATACATTTAAAAGAAGAAGGTCAATCTTTATAGGATAAACGCAGTGGCATTCCCGACTCCCAGGTTTCATCACCATATCTGCTTTGCAGCAATCTGGAGGAATAAACAATAAAGATACACAAAATATACATTGGAACCAAAGGAGTTTGGGAAAAAGAATCAAACCGCAGAATTAGTATGTTTACTGTGATAAAGTAGGTAGTTGAGTAATTAATCACAAAGTAACTAATTTCTTTTACAATATAAATAGTAATAAGGGCAAATGAATAATCATATTGGAATTCCCCTTCTTCATGAGAACATTAAGTTAAATAGACAATGATTCAAGCAATAGCAAGAAGTATTAATAATAAGATATATTGATCCAGGTTCCAACTTACTTGAGACAGAAGGAGACAGTGGAGGCTGAGTTAAACCAGAAGGCAACAAACCAATAGCAGACTGCGTTGGAGCAAGATCATTGAAGCCAACAAAGGAAGGTGGTAAGCCACTCCTCTTCATCAAAGGTTCTGAAATATGCGAACTCAAAGGGGGGTGTGTTGGTGATAATTCAACTGGTGAACCAAGTCGCAAAAAATGCTTTCTCCAGGACCCACGAGACAGCGGTACATTGACTGGAAGGGGTAGATCAGGCATGGCCGGTGCCACCTGAGGCGCACCAACTGGAGATTCTGAAGTTGTAAGACGTCGATTGTTTGGTACTTCGGCATCAGTACTTGATATAATGCACCACAAAAGGATCAATTTGATCAACAACCATTGTGGACTTTTAAATATTCCTGCATTTTGCATCCTAAATCAATCAATATAGTATTAAGACAGTCATATAAGTTTATCGTGATTCACAAAGCAATTCCCACATCCAGTTTCACATAATTTCATAGAATATTAATAGAACATAGATCCATAGACAAATACAAATTTATATGATCCGACATCTTTTATTGAAATTTACTAAATGATAACAATTTCAAGCTTTAGAGACAACAAAACTACTCGTGATTGATGAAACAAAAACAAGGTGAGTTTCTTTGCCTTCCTTTTAATTTTTTTTAATTTTTTTCCTGATGTTTACAGTTCCTATAACTACTAAAACCAACAAGCTCCATCAAAAATTCAAAAGTAACCCTAGCTCAAGCAAGTCCAAATTCTAGTCAAACTATGAATCACATTCTCAAAGTTAATTCATGTCTGCCTTTCCGGGAGCTCAAAAAAATTAGAACTTTAACCAGATAAATAGGATAAAACATTTCAAATTAGAGCTTTATTTCATGTTTCACTGCCTACAATTGAAATTTCTCGTCTTCAATCGTCCTTTTCTTCCCCTTCTTTATCCAACAAACTAAAGGTTGTTTCTAGAACTTTATATCCTTTCCGTTTCCCACATTTTCTCGGAAACCAAACGGAACTTTGACCCACTCACAAAAAAAATCAACACTAATCGCAAACAAAGGAAAACAGTTCCAGAAATCGAAATTATAATCACCGGAATCGACAGGACCTGCGAGCGGAGACATCACCGACGACCTCGAACTTCTAGATCTGTGAGAATGGACCAAACCGACGGCGAGATCACGGTGCCAGTGAGCATAAGACTTGAAAAATCCGAAGCAACACTACGAGCTGAAGAAGTATGTGGCGGCGGACGAAGGATGATCCAACGGCGGCGGAATCGTCGCGAAGGTCCGGACTCGGAGCAGTAGTCTCGGACTCAGAATCTCCATAACCGAGCCGAATCGGGAGAAACTGAGTTGAGTGAGCTCCGATAACTCCAACCCGGCGATTAGAGAAGAGAAAGGGAAGAGGTTTGTGACTGTTGGTAAAGATGTCAGATGTCGTTGTGTTTCTTTTTCTTTTTCTTACTCTCTCACCGGTATCAGAGAAGCTTTTTTTTTTTTTTTGGTCTCTTCTTTTCTTTTCCTTTTCTCCTGATTTCTTTCTTCAAAGTGGGAATTTTCTGCTATTTGTTATATTTTTTGTGTGTATTTTTGACGCTCTAAACCCTATTAAACATTAATATTGTTTTTTTTATAATTTAATTCTTACTTTTTCTTGACAAATGATTTCTGAATTTATTTTTTAATAATTTTGATTCTTATAATTATGGAATTAATAGAGGTAATTAAATTAAATTTTATAGAAATATTTACATTCCTTTTTTTTTTTTTAATTTTAAGTTATTGTACATAGAAAGATAATTATTTTATTTACTTCAATAAAATTACAAATTTTCTTTTCTAAAAAAGAAAATTACAAATTTTGGTTTTTTGTATTTCGATGCGTGAGATAGCGGGGAGGCGCACAGGCTTTAATCCGTGGCTAACGTGCGCCGTTAACGGAAAAGTACAAGTTAACGGTTAAAAAGGACAACTGAGGGTGGGTAGTATTATACTCTGCTGCGGCGTACACGGTTAATTCTGTGATCTTCATCATCTATATTCCATGGCGCGTATTAATGATGATTTTTTATTTTTCATGGTAACGCTGATTAAAGCACTTGTTGCCAAACAGCAAAGTAAAATAGAGAATTTATTTTTACTCTATTTTCCCCTACCTGTGGGAAATTATTTAATTTAGCTTTTAGTAAGTAAGAACAATAAATTTAGAAAAGGGACCCAATAGTTATAAATAAATTGAGTCAAATCGTATATGTAGAATAGGGGGCAGGTCCTTATCGCAAAATCAATGTTTCCATTTATTATTACTTAAATTATATACAAACATGAAATTTATTATGATCTAATTTAAATTTGAGTTTTTAATTTAAATTAAAATGTGATTTTATATAATAATTTTTAATTATAATACAAAAATTAAATATAATTTTTTAAAAAAACTTTTAATTATAATAAAATTAAAATTAAAAACTTAAATCCATCAATTTAACGAATTTACAAGTCTTTGAAATCTTGAGGAAGATCCTAAAAAAATGTAATTATCTATAGGTTTCTACTTTCTAGTGTTGACGTGAGCACGTGTCATTAGTCCAGCCACAAATCTTGATTTCTTTTCCCATTTTCTATTTGCCAACAAGGCAAGAATTTCAATCAAGTGACGTAAATGTTTTTTTAAATTATAAGTAGTGACGTAAATGCTTTGATACCCTCACAAGGTTTCTAAACGGTTGGAAATTTTTCTACCAAACGAAGGACCACGTCGGCTTTGAAGTTCATAAGCATGATTATACATTCGTTGAACGCTACTAAATACGTTATTAAATCACGACCTAAACAAATTTGTACGTTGAATAAAAATAAGGTATTGCTTACTTCAACGATTAGAGGAATATTTGGTTGGAATATTCAAATTATGATTTGAATTATGATTTATGATTCGTTACAGTATTTTCTCTTACAAAAAATACTCATAAATCGAAAATGGTTCTAATCACATGATTCTAATCCATGAACCAAATATCTCCTTAAATTATTGATTTAATTTAAATTGTGATCATTTGAGTCGTAGTAAAAAGTCAAGATGACTCTCTTTAATTTTCTAACTAAACGTGTTTTTGGATCTTTGATCCTCATTTGAATTCTAGATTTAGAAAAAAATAGATAATTTATTTTATGAACATTCACCTCTTATTCTTAATAAATATTATTTTATTAGTGTAATTATTTAACTAAAAAGGTTATAAATCAAGAATAAATAGTAAAAATCTTAATTTATGCACTTTTAAGAAATATTTATCGAGATTACTCTTGAATTTGATGGTTTAAATAGTTCAAACAAACACAGACTAAGTTTTTTTTAATTTTTAATTTTTTTATATTTAATTTTTGTGTGTTTTTGAAAAAATATATTTTTCTCACTTTACTTTATAATAATTTTTTCGCATGTATTTCTATTTTATTTTTTATTAATTTCTTTAAATATATTCATATTTAATTATTTTTCGTGTAATTTATATAATATCAAAAGTTATTTTTACACATATTTATTTTTTAAAATAAATTTAAAAATTTTTAAATAATTATATAAATAAATTTATCGTTATTCAAAAAATAATAAATTTGTGAGGTATTTATAACAAGACAATACGATGCGGAGCATGTTAAAAAACTAGTATATATAAGTGCAAAATTGGATGTCATTTTACTTTTACAAAAAAAAAAAAAAATGATTACAATAAAACATGTAATATAGCAGTTTCGAATATACACGACATGTAAGTTTATTTTTCACTTTTCAGCTTAAACGACGAGTTATTGCTTCGAGGCAAAAACGTCAATGGCACTTCTTTTCCTAATACACACATGATTCGCTTTCATCTTCAACATAAACGACATGTTGGTTGCCACGAGGAAAATAACGACATGAAGGAGAAAAGACACGTCGTTTTACTCTTTCAGTGGCGCGTAGGAAATAGAACCTGGGCTGGGCTGGGCCGGGCCATGCCCACAAAAAGGCCCAATCAAGGTAATTAGGTTCGCTCCTGGATTTACGATCCGAGTGCCCGACTTGTACTTTCATAGTCTGCCGGAACTCACGAGTCCCGACCGTGACCTTCTTCTAGCTTTTACAATGTTCTGATTTTTCCGATTTCCCAAAAAAAAAAAAAAAAAAATCCTAACTTGTCGACCTTATTTCGCTTTTTCAGAGCAACACAACAGCTTCCAATTCTTCTATCGCAGAAGAAATCGAGCTAGGGTTCAGCATCCAAGCAATTTATCTTCTCTAATGGCGACCTAGGGTTTTGGTTTTCGTTTCCTGGTTTTTATCTTCCATTGAGACTAAAAGGAGAAAATTCACCAGAGAGAGAATTAAAGCTATGTCGAAGAGGAAGTTCGGATTCGAAGGCTTCGGCATAAACCGCCAGTCCACTTACAACTTCGAGCGCTCTCAGCAGCAAGCTCCTCAGCGACTCTACGTCCCTCCTTCTTCTCGCGGCCATGGCCACGACAACTACGAGGACACCGACCTTGACAACATCGATTACGACGAGAATGATGCCGCCAAGGACACTGGCGACGCCGGTGATGGCGGCGGCGGCGCGGACGACGAGGTTGATCCGCTTGATGCGTTTACAACTTCGAGCGCTCTCAGCAGCAAGCTCCTCAGCGACTCTACGTCCCTCCTTCTTCTCGCGGCCATGGCCACGACAACTACGAGGACACCGACCTTGACAACATCGATTACGACGAGAATGATGCCGCCAAGGACACTGGCGACGCCGGTGATGGCGGCGGCGGCGCGGACGACGAGGTTGATCCGCTTGATGCGTTCATGGCGGGAATTCACGAGGAGATGAAGGCGGGGCCACCGCCAATGGGGAAGGGGA